GAACAGAATCAACGAAGACACTCTCAAATCTCAGTTTCTGAACTCAGTCTGGGAACTGACACTAACTTACCAACCACAATGCACTCTAAGAACCACCAACAATAAAAGTAGTGATGTTATTATATTTAATACCATTAAATATAGTCCAAGAGTCTTACATATACTATGTCTTTTCACCTCACAACAAACCCATAAAGTTTGCACTATTTTTATTCTCATTTTACAGATGAGGTATCTAAGGTACAAAAAGGTTATTTGCTCAAGAATAGTAAGTGAGAGTCAGGTTTCAAGCTAGGTGGTCTGCCCCCACAGTTCATTCATGATTTCATCACTATGTCAGACTATGCTCCACCCCCATGCTGGAAAGCTGTTAGATCTGCATCTTCTAATATGTAGTCAGTAGTCACATGTAGCTATATCATTTAATTTAATCAAAATTAAATATCATACCACTTTGGAAAACAGTCTGGCAGTTCCTCAAAAGGTTACATATAGCATTACCATATGACCCAGCAATTCCACTGTTATACAATTTAGTATTAATCGGCCATAAAAATGAATGAAAAACTTGATACATACAATGACATACTGATCAATCAACAAGGATGACTCTTAAAAACATTACGCTAAGTGAAAGAAGCCTGTCACAAAGGCCCACATAGTATATGATTCCATAATAGGCAAATCCATAGAGACAGAAAATAGATTAGTGGTTGTCAGCCGCTGGGGGAGGAAGGGGTAGAATGGGGAGGGCCTGCTAATGGCAATAGGGTTTCTTTTGGGGGCGATGAAAATGTTCTAAAGTTAGATAATGGTGATGGTCACACAATTTTGTGATTTACTAAAAAGCCATTCATGTACACTTTCAAAGGGTGAATCCTTTGACGGGTAATTATATCTCCAAAATGCTGATATAAAAAATTAAATGTCATTAAAAATTCAGTTCCTGTTATCCTAGCTGCATTTCGAGTGCTCAACAGCCACATGTGGCTAAGTGGCTACAAAAATAAACGGTGCAGATATAGATCACTTCCAACATCACAGCAAGTTCTACTGGACAGCACTGCTTCAATGAATGGATAAAAGGCCTCCTTACCACCTAACCACAGTCCATCTTTCAAGTCTTACCTACTTTCACATTCCTTAACACACCCACATACGGAGTTTCCGCCACAGACTACATGCCACCTCCCAACGCTTGCTCCATTTTCGCTTTCATACTGCAATGGGCTTTCCCCACCTTCCCGGTCCACAGATACCCTACTTATTCTTATCAACCTTTAAAGCCCGCCCAAATGCCTCTTCCTCCCCGAAACTTTCCCTCGATCCCCACCTTCCCCTGGTCCCAGCAAAATCGGTTGCTCCCACTGGCCTTTGTTTGCATTTCCATTACAGCATTGATCCCTCTGGATTACAAATCATTGTGTGCATTATCTGCCTTTCCCACAAGATTACCAGCTCCTTGAGGACAGGGATTCTGTTGTTACTCATCTGAGGGTTCCCAATGCCTAGCGATAACAGCTGCAAAGAGCAGACCTTTCAGTAAATGTTTGCTGAATTCTACTGAAAGGATTTACAGAAACAGCAAGGTATTGATTTTGACAATTGCTCACTCTGGTGTGTAAAGCGGACTGAAAATTAGGGAAAGGGGATTAGAATCTAGAAGTTTCTTGTCCCACTATTCTGTAAGGAGCGATGGCGATTGCACTGAAATGCCATTTTTAAGAAAGAAGAGTGAAGTAGGGCTTCCGGATTGACCGCTGGGACAAGGAGGTGAGTAAAGGTGGGGGTGGGGAGCAAATGGGTATACTTAATTGAGGGATGTGGTATAAAAAGGAGCAGGAACTAGTGTCTCATCCAACTCGAAGTTTTAAGTGTGGCAGAGGAAAGGTAAGGACTGCATCTCTAGAGATTTGTGTCCAGGCCACTGGCTGAGTCACTTCATGGAAAAAGACTTTTCTACTAAAACTTTATGTTAAATAATAGTCAGACTTTTCTGGTTGTATCTAACTAACAATAGAAAGAAATTATGTATCTCAATCATAATTTATTTGGAAGAAACAAATGCCAAGGCCTTACTCTTTGGCAATGTTACTGTTTTTTTAATTCCTTATGGATTCAAGGAACCACACCTGAGTTGCAGTGACCAATAGGAGAGTTAAGTCTAAGATCCTAATCATAGAAAAGGTAATGAACCCTCCTGGGCCAAGATGGCAAGAAATGGCTGTTCCAGTGCAGGGCTAGTAAGAAGGAAAGCAAGCCACCTAATAACGTGTATTTCTGATAGTAAATGCATATGTAATAAAAAAGTTGTATTTGATAGAGCCATTTCCAGAGGAAAAATGCAATGAGGTACCCATAAATTTCAATACGAAATGAGTACGGAGAGTCCTCAATTCAGAGTTAGCCAGAAACCATTTGTTGAAATAAGGACAGTTGAGTACCTACCTGAAGTACATCCTATGCCAAAATAGTCCATGAATTCTTTTTCTTTACAGATTTCTACAAGCCAAAAATCAACAAAAAGCAAACCAAAAACCAACTTGACTAAGTTGCGGTGGATTCAGTTAATAATTATATAACTACCATTCCAAAAGCCAAAATTCACGACAAAAATCTCACTATAGATTAGTACTCTCTGACAGAGACAGGGGTATGAGTTGGGGGTGGAAGTGTATGGGGTGAGGGGACAGGAACAGGGAGACTACTTATTACAAAAACCTTCCTTTCTCTCCAGGAACTGTAACCACATAATAGCTGCTGGTCAATGCTCGCATCCATTCAAACGGAACAAAGTACAAAAGCCACCTTGTCCCCAAAATAAGTACTGGAAGTGCCAAAGAATAGATAAGAAAATGGCCTGTGATCAAACAAACATTGAAATCGCTCCCACATCTTCTCGCCACCTCCCAGGTGCGCATGTTGTGGTAAAGAACCTCCCCTTGTCATCCTTATTCTTGCTAAAGAAATAGATGTGTTTCCCACCGTTGACTCGGAGGCCCACCACTGCTCTCCACTGGGATGATGCAGTCCCCAGGCCAGGGCACCCACCTCCAAAGGCTCCAAGGTTCCTAAATCAACCCTCCAGCAATGTAATTTATTGGTTATTGGAAACAGCTTTTAGAAATACTTCTAGAAATAGAAACGTGCAAAGGAAAAGCCACAGTTTGCTCTATTGTTTTGTTCTGTCGGCATCTGTATTTTTTAACTTTACCAGTCCTGAGGGTTATAACTTTTCTAACAAAGAAAATTTATTTCTCCTGCCAGTTTATGATTTTAACTGGGAAAAAAAAAGAACCCTAACAAAACTTGAAAGGTCCAGACCTAGAAAATGGAATACACTGGCCAGAAAATAAGCTCTATTCCTTTCTCATGTTATTACTAATATACATAAATGTATTCGAGAGGAGGCACAGGATACTTCAACAGACAAGTTATGGTATAGCCATACAATGGAAAACTGTCCGTCCATAAAAAGGAATAAAGCACTGGTCCGTGCCACAATGAACCTCAAAAACATTATGCTAAGTGAAAGAAGCCAGAGACAAAAGATCACATATTGTAGGATTCCATTTCTATGAAATATCCCGAATAGGTAAAGCTATAGACACAGAAAGCAGACTGGTGGTTGCCAGTGGCTGGGGGAAGGGGAGAAGAGGGAGGAACTGCTTAATGGGTAGGGGGTTTCTTTTCCAAGTGATGAAAATGTTTTGGAACTAGATAGAGGTGGTGATTGCACAAAACTGTGAATGTACCAAACACCAATGAATTGTTCTCTTTAAAATGGTTAAATGGTTTTAAATAGTTTATGTTATGTGAATGCCATGTCATGTCATTTAAAAAATTAATTTTTAAAATAGAGGATACTAATGGGCAAAACAAAGATGCATATAGTACATGAATAGGTACCCCATAAACTCCTAGGGAAAAGATAAATATTTCTGTTGGCACTTTGCTTCTACTCTTGATCACAAAAAGTTCAAGCACTAAGCTGTACAGTCTCTGCCATCATGCCGTGTGTGTGTGTGTGTGTGTGTGTGTGTGTGTGTGTGTGTGTGTGTGTCTCTTTCTGAAAAGACAGAGAAGTGAACAGAAAGTGAAGAAAACAGAATGGGCCTGGCCAAATGAAAGGGAAGGAGGGGCGATTCCCCCTACTGCACCCCACCCAACTTGGCACCAGGAGTAACGCTCCCATTAGGGTTTCAAAATGCCAGCAAGAGCTGGAATCAGCACAAGCCAGCTTCTTGCCTGGATAAAAGCAAGCCACCCAGCAAGAAGAGCTGGGGTGCTCCATTTGCTGCCCGTACTGGCATCAGCATCACCCTTTGCTCAAAAGCCTTGAGCTGGCCCAGATCAGCACCAGTGACTGGCGCTCCCAGGCCAGCCAGCCTGGCAGTAAGAGCTTATCAGAGCTCAAGTGGACCCTTCTCCTGAGGAGTCCCGGTCTACTTCATCCCACATGCCTTCCAAGAGTGTTGCCTCCAACCACGTAACTCCAACATCATTAAAAATGGTGCCCTCAGATTTTTTTCCTGTCCAGCCTGAAATAAATATCTTCTCAGCCCCTCCTCCCTCTCAGGCCAGCACAATAGTCCACATACCCTAACTCGCACAGACGTACACGCGGCATCGCTACCTAGACTTGCTCCACCGGGGGACACAAAAGAACCTCCAATGCCCTAGGTTGGCACCACTATCCAATCATGGTCTTCCCTGCCCACCTGACCTAACTGCCATCCCAAAGCCCCCTCACTCGTCTGGCACTATGCCTCTGCCACCTCCCTAACATCAAAACAGGTGTCCCTCAGCTAAACATCGACGCCCCCTTAGAGCCTGTCCACTCCACGCATGGATGTCCCTCTTGGGACCTGTAGACTCTTGGCAACAACACTCCTTCAGCCCTCTTCAGCCAGGCGGCGACGCCATCTCCAGCCCCCTCTCCAGCCAGGCCTCGACGACCCCCAGGCCCCAGCCTGGCGCGGACGCCCCCTCCCCCTTACCTGCGGGGGTTCAGCCCTGGCTGACAGGGGGCTGGGCAGCGCCTGGAGGAGCAGGAGCGCCATGCCACCCAGGAGCCTTCTCCTCTCCATCCCCCTCCTGCTCCTGCTCCTCCGCCACGGCGCCGCCACCTCCCTCCTCCTCCCTCTCCTCCTCTTCCCTCTTCTTCCTTCTTTCCTTCTTTTCCTGTTTCACTCTCCCCTCCCGCTTCCGGCTCTGCTCCACCCCGCCCCGGCCTAAACACCCTCCCAGACACTGGGGAGGTTCTCTAGTTCCAGAGTTTCATTGGCCTCTGCCCTTCATCCATTGATCAAAATAGCTGTCGATCAAATCGAAGTCCCGCCCCCAAGGCAACAGATGACTTGAGGGATCCAGCCAATGAAAAGTAGGAGGAAGCTGGGCCATCTTGAGTGTTGCGAGGCAGTGTAAATACATCCCACTCCCCAGAGAGTGGCGGAAGTGGCTCCAATTGGGGGCGGGGCCACCTAGAACGTGTGTATTGAATGCTACTTCAGATACAGCCATCTTGAGTGTGGCGGAAGTAATGTATTTCCACAGTTTGGCAAAAAGAGAAAGGGTATAGTGTTTCTAGAGGCTGTTGCCAAAAAGCTGGTGGTTTTTATTTTTATTTTTTTTAAGAAGGTAACGCAGCGCTCCTAAGGAGGAAAACGACTGCAATCTAAAATCTTTCTATGTCTTTTGTCTTGAAACAGCCTCACTACTTCTGGTCTCCCACTGTCCTATCAGTAGCTTAAGTCAACTTAAATTCCCAATGAAATAGTATCTTTACCTGAGGCACAGTGCTTTGTCACCCCAAGTTTCAGGGACACAATTCTACTGACTGTACTTTAGAAATAGCTCTGAAGTCACTCTCATTTCTTCAATCCATGTTCTTATCTTTCGGCTAAATACAAATGGTCTCCCTGCTGCCCTGCCAGTTGCAGTTCTTCCCTCCTGAATTCCTTTCACACACCACAGCGAGGGTGCTCTACTACACGCACACACACAAAAATCAATGTCTCATGACTTTTCCTCTTAAAATACCTAAACAACCTACAGGCTATATAATCCAAACTTCTCAGTTTAGTCCTGTGTCCTGGTTCCTGCATTCTTTATCTCACTCTCTGCCACCCACACATTCTCCCACACATTTTGCTCATACTAAAACACTTAAGAGATCTTCAGTGTGCTGTGCTATATAGTACACCTAACTTCATTTATATATTGCACATACAGTTCCCTGTTTATAAACTCCTAGTTCCCACCCCCTTGTTTCTTCTGGATTCACATAACACTCCCCTGACAGTGTAATCTGTATCTGCCTGGCTCACTTCTTCTACTAAATCTGCAGCTTTTTGTATGGCATACCAGGTCTTACTCATTTTTTAAGAAATCGCTACAACATCCTATACCCAGTCAGGACCCAATCATATAACCTTAATGTTGGTAAAATAAATGAACAAATGAAGACCTATGGCAGAGAAGCCAGCTGCCCGTAGCTGCTAATTTCCTCTCAAAAACCTGCCAAAGCATTAAACAGCCTCACCCAGTTAGTCCCATTGAGTCTACAAGGAGTTTGTTTTTGACTTAAATAGTGCCAAAGCAGAAAACAAGAATGAGAAAATTGGTTTTGCCCCGGCAATGAGAATTTCCATAGTTCTGCCTCTCTCTTGATCCTGCTTCCCCAAGTGCTGCAAAATGTGACAAGTGTTCTTGCCAATGCCAAGTTTATTAGAAATTCATCCCACAATCAAGCTTCCAAGGGGAAGAGAAAAGATTGAGTACTAAGCAAGGGCCCAATTATTTTCACAGAACAAGGTCTCAACCCTGGCCTTAAGGAATATTTCCTCCACATAAAGACTAGGTATCTTCATTAGGAAACCTTAGTGGTTTCAATTTGGCAAGCACAGAGGATTTTATCCCAACTTCTCTTTCTCCCTTTACCTGAAAGCTCAAAGTGAGCTATTGGACAGGACAGACACTAAACCCTGCAGTCTAGTCTACATTAGCACTTCCCACACCAAGGTATTTTAGTTACTCTAATCTTTCCACATCCCACAGGAGCCAGCTCAAAGAAAGCCTTACAAAATGGAGTTGAGATGCAGTTTCAGTGAACACTTTTAAATGTGCCTCTGAACTATAGCCACTACATACTCCAGACTTTTCCAAGAGTAATTGTCTATGAAAACAGGAGGAATGCCAGGAGGTTCAAGGAGCTGGGAAGGAAAGGGAATGTTTGATTATTCAAAGAACACCAGTGTGGAACTGCTTCTGAGCTCTGGTGAGGTTTTTCCTATTTGCCTTTGGAAATGAGCAAAACTGAAGCCAGATCTCTTATCCTAAGAAAGCTAGCTCAAAGACACAGACCGTTCTGTTCAGACATCAACTAAAATCAAATTGCATGCGGTACAGCATGGATGAACTTTGAAAACATTATGCTAAGTGAAAGAAGCCAGACACGGGTCACACACTGTGTGATTCCATTTATACGAAATGTCCAGAGGAAAAAAATCTATAGAGACAGAAAGTGGATTAGGGGTTGCCAGGGGCTGAGAGGAAGGGGAATGGGAAGTGACTGCTGGTGGGTATAGAATTCTGGAATTAGATAGTGGTGATGGTCACATAATTCTGTGAATATACTAAAAATCATTGGGGGTAATTAAAATGTCCTGGAATTAGATAGTGACGATGGTCATACAACTTTGTGAGTATACAAAAAACCACTAATTGTATGTACACTTTAAAAAGATGAATTTGTTATACAAATTATATATTAATTTTAAAAAATGAGGGAAAATCAAATGACAGCCAGTTATTTGACCTCAGGGAGGCCCTCTCTCTTTAGAGCAGAGATCCTTAAGAGTGTGGTCCCCAGAGCAACAGAATCGCCCGTCACTGGAAAATTACCAGAAATGCAAATTCTCAAACTCCACCCCAGGCCTACATAATTGGAAATTCTGGGGATGGGGCCCTACAATCTGTTTTAACAAGCCTTCCAGGTGATCCTGATGCATATTTTTAAGAACGATTTCTCCAGGGGAAACTTTGTGTAAAGGGTCAGAGAATAAATATTTTAGGGTTTGTACACCACATACATTGGGTCTCTGTCACAGTGTTTTTATTTCACAACTCTTTAAAAATATAAAAACCATTCTCATTTTCCAGGCACATAAAAACAGGTAGCAGACAGATTTGGGCCCTTGAGCCATGGTTTGCCAGCTCCTGCTTTGAGGCAACACAGCTCCCATTCTAAGAGACTTCTGCAGCTTCTAGCAAAGACAGGTGGATTTTTCCTCAGTAATAAGCAAAATAAACAATGGCCGCCCAGCTTCAGACAGGCAGGTCCTCTTAGAGTTGTGATATCCTTTTCCATGCCAAGGACAAAGGCCAGAACCTGCTTTTCATTCAGGCATTATTAACTCAGTCTGCAGACAGCTTGGTGTGCTATTTCAAGAAATTTATTCGATTCACAGTGATATCCTTTGAATGATCAGTAAATTCTACTAGACAACTTATACAGACATCCACCCCAGGTAAACCCACAACAGTTCCCTAGAGAGCTTGAGAAATCACCTACAGCAGCCAAGTTGGGAAGGGCAGTGGCTGTGCTTTGTTGTGTCCTTTAAGGCTTTTTGGTCCTCGCTGATTTCCTCTTAGAGGAGTCCAAATAAAACTTCCTTTTCCTGGTCAGTACACACCAGTCTTTCTTTGGTGTTTAACCCAACAGGCTGAGGAAAGGAGGCAGCCAGGAAATTATACCCATTAAAATGTGTGGCTAACGTTTACATACATCCTTTTTACTCACAGTTAGTAGAATTATCTTTTAAACACACAGAAGTAAAATCGGACATGGTTTCCCAGCAGGATATCAAAGTTAGTATCACTTGACAGGGCTTGAAGCCCTGTGGAACTCTGCTGCCTCACACAATGACTTTTTTTGGCACAGAGAACTCCTGGGTGCCTGATAAACTCAAGGTTAGCAGTACTCCCGAAGAACCTTTCCAACTGGGGCAGTGGGGAGGAGGATGAGGAAGAGTGGAGATGAGCCCCAAGGTGACACTGACTAGGCCCTCCCCCTTCCTGAGTTGGCTAGAACTGCATGGATAAAGGTTCTATAGCTTGAGAGATAATGAGGAAGGGAAGAGGAAAGAAAGGTAGAAGCTTCTTTGTCCCAGGAGCTCTTCCTCAATCCTGGCTAGAACCAGAAGCCCAAAGACTTCCTAATTTTTCCAAATGTTTTGCTTGAGTGTCGCCCTCATGCCCCACCAACTTCTCTCTGTAGGGGACTCAGCTCCTGGTCTCCAGGGGATGAGAGTTAAGCGGGGAGCTGATAGAAGACTTGGTCTTTCTCCCCTTGTTCACTTTCATCCCCTGGAGCCCAATAAACCAAGTGCCTGAGTAGAAGCAGGAGGCACCCTCGCGCCCCCGACTACCACCACCGCACGCAGACCCACCCTGGCCTTCCGGCCCTGTTGGCAAAGAGGAAGGGGGGCACAGGTCTACACAGCAGGTAAGGAGGAGCCTGGTGAATATGGGTATAGACTGGTCCTTGCTGGGGTAGGGCATTTAGAGACCCTTATTGAAGTAGACGTAAGGTACGAGTTCTCCATACTTGGCCTTGATGGTGTCTTGGAGCTCTGGTTCCAGATAGGAAACTGGCAATTTGCTGAGAAGAGAGAAGGGGGTTATGAGCCTGCCACCTGGATAACAGCAGCAAATTACCCTTAGATAAAGTCCAACTCGAATGCCCCCTCTAAGAAACCCTTTCCAATTTCTCCATCAGAATTAGTAATGGCCTCTGTACACCACAATATGTTACTTTTACCTCTGTTCAGGCCTGACTGGGTTCTCTCGGCACTAAGCTTCCATCTTCTCCACAAGATTACAAGCAAAGCTCTCAGAACTCAGGGAATGCCCAGCAGATGACTGCTGAGTTGACTAAGGGGAGACTGGCATCATCTTCTCAGTACACATCCAAGCTACGCCTGGGCTCCTGGAGCTAGTCCTTCTCCCCAACCAAGTCTGACGCTTCCCTTCCCCTTGCCTTCCTCCCTTTTCTCCTCACCTCCCCTTCCATGACATGCAAGTGGAGAGGTCCAAGTGATCTGGCAAACATGAGCCAAAATCAGTACCTGTCCCCTTGTTCAGTCTCAAAGCCCAGGCAAGAGAGATGTACCCACCCAGCAGGGACAGCCCCTTGTTGTTTCCCCCACCTTCTCTCCAAGGCAGTCCTTGCTCCCCTGGGAGGGAGCAATTCATCCCTCTGCCCCTTAGCATGTGCCTGGTTTCCATTCATATGGGCTTAAGAGGCCCAGAGTTAAGGCCGATGGGCACTTGTCCCTGGACAAATACTGCCCTTCCTGCCCCTCCCCCGCTCCTTCACGACAGCAAGCAGGTCAGGGAGGGCAGAGACAGGACATCTGGCCAAACAAAGTGAGGCATGAGCAGCTGATACCATTTCTGCGGGAAGAGCCCACATGCCACCGGCACCATGAAGATGAGGCTGAAAGGAAGGAGAAACCAACGTGTTAGGGGGCATCTCCCCACGGGCCCTCCCACGCCCTGTCCCTGGGGCCCTCGCAGCGGGCAGAGACGCTCCTTCACCTGGCCTGCTTCCCACAGCACCTCTCCCTCCACCCCTTCTCCAGCCTCCCAGTGCCAGGACGCTCATTTCGGCACAGGATAAAATCAGTCCCAACGCCCCCATCCACCCCTGTCATTCAAGCAGATGAAGAAGACAACGATGTCCCTGGGGAGTGCGAGCAGCAGCCCTAAGGACCACAGGCACCCGCTGATGTGCAGGGAAAGCAGCGAGGGGTGTGAACCCTGAGGTCCTGCTCCTCTATTCTGTGAACAGCTGGACGTCAGAGAACAGTAAAGGGCAGGGTTTTTCCAACTTCGATGTGCCTACGGACAGCTCCAGGGGCTTGTAAAAATGTAGACCTGATTCAGCAGGTCTGGGGAAGGGCTTGAGAGTCTTTATTTCTAACCAGTTCTCAGATGTGGGTCCAGGACCATGTCCTCCAGGAGTCTTAACAGACCTGGGTTCATATCCCAGCTTTGCTGCTTACTAAACGAGCAGTCTGGGCACATCACCTCTGAGGCAGCAGAGGGAGGACAAGAGTGCCTACTTTGCAGGGTTAGTGTGAAGACCTGATAACACATGTACAGCACGCAGCCCCTGGTAACTGCTCATTCAGTGGTAACTCAATAGGCAGAAGATAGCATAGCACGTTAGACTGCCGAGGACCAATCACGGCTCCAGCAATTACCAGCTATGTACCCTGGGGCAAGTTCCTTCATCTCTCTAAGCCTCAGTTTCTTTTTTTGTAAAAGATGATGATGACAGTATATATACCTCCAGGGCTGAGGTTATTAAGTGAAGTTATAGCTGTGAAGCATTGGCACAGAGGGCACTTTCAGTCAATGATAGTTGTTGCCACCGTCATTAGCCCTGTAGCCCTGCGAAACACAATTAATGGTAGGACATGTCCAGCCGATGGCAGGCACCTAAGATGCTGCCATGACGGGGGGTGTTTTCCTCCTGGGTCAGGCTGGGACACTTGACAGCCCCAGGCTGTGACACTTGACAGCCCCAGGCTGTCACATCATTTTTGTCTCTTCATTTATTTTATCTATTTATCTATCTGTTTTATTGAAATATGACTGACATAAAACATTGTACGAGTTTAAGATGTATGTGTGGATTCGATATATTTATATATTACAATGACACCTCTATCACGTCAAATAATTATCATTTCTTTTTTGTGGTAAGATTGTCTCATCATTTTCGTCTCTTCTTAAGGCTTGAAGTCACAGGGGAGATCTTGGGACAGGAGGGCACCCAAGCACTCTGCTTCTCATACGGATGTGTGCATGAACCCTAGGCAGCCCGACACCCTCCAAAAAGATGGGGCAAGAGCTCTCCAGACGGGCCACAGGTGTTCTGAGCCTGGGTACCTTGGAAGTCAGGTAAAGGAGTCCATGTTCTCCAACAAGGGTGAAACAAGAAGACAGATCTTGGGTGCCTCAGCCACCGGAGAACCCAAACCAAGAAAATACATTACTCACAAGCACCCAGACAGCGTAACCTGCAATGGCGCGTGCAGGACCTTGACTTTCTGCATAAAAACAAAAGAAAGACCCACATGGGACTTATATACCTTAAGGTGAACCCCACACCTGTCCCACCTGCCCTGCCACCAATCAGCCAGCTAGACACCCACAGGTATGCACTGCTTGCCCTGAAGGGGAGAAGGGGCTCTCCTTGCTCTTCACAGACAAGATCGAACAACCGGCTGTGGTGTCTAAAGTGGGCAGCCGGTGGGGTCTGGTACAGGCTCTACGTGGGTGGGATGAAGGCTGGTAGCTAGAGGGAAGGATGAGGTGATCAGGAACTCCTGCGTGTGGTTGGGGGACTCTGGGCAGGGAAGAGGCAAAAGGGAACACCACTCACCTTCATGAAACGCAGCTTCTCCAGCCTTTCCATGATGACCGGCAGCAAGACTGAAAGAGACCAGCAAGAAGCTAGGAAGACCTGTAAGATTCTCCTTAAGACCCCTTTCCCAAGTCAGATCAGGGACTGAATGATTCCCCCTCTCTCTCCAGAAGTTCCAGAAAATACTTCTCATTTGGGGGAAATATGGCAGCCTGTCCCCCAAGTCCCAGCAGAAGGGTGCTTCTCACACTTCTCAACCTGCCCACCTGCAATAACAGCACATGTACTGCAGGCCCAAAGTGTCCTTCTCAAAACTCAAAACTATCCTTGAAGGCTCATGCAAACAGATTATGTACCCTACTTTCTAACGTGCCCTTGCTGGAGGCACAACCAGTAAAGGGGGGTTATTTCCTCTACCACAGTCTCCTCACACCCCGCACTGTGTTCAGCATGTTGAAAGTACTTAAGAAATATTTGTTGACTGAAAAGAACTTTCTCCCCCAAATCTCTGATTTTTACTGATGTTTTAGGAACTACAGTGTGGTTCTCTCATGGCTTTCAGCACTCAAGCAAACCAGCTAGAGAAGCATGGCTGTGGAGGCTGGGGTCCCACCTCCCACCCAAAAGCTGAGTGAGGCTGAGGCCTTCATCATGTGTTCCAGGCACCCCCAGGATGGGAAGGCTTCTCCATCTTACTCATGCCAGGGGCTGCCATGGTGATCCGAGAAATAACCACTTGGGTGATGCCGATGGCTGCAGCTCTCTGAGGGCAGAAAAGATTAAATTGTCAGAAATGACCTTATCCTGTATCCATGGGCTGCACCAGAGGGCTGGGTCAGGGTCACCACCAAGTCTGAGCTGGTAAAGGGGAAGGGTTGGACCTGCCAGAGGCTGAGTAACCTCACCAGATCCTCTCCCACCCAGCCAGAGTTTTATGGCTTCAGTACCAGAAATGATGGAGAAAGGACATGAGAAATGTCCTAATCAGGGAAATGTAGAAAAAAATCAATGGGAATGAGAATGGAGTCAGGGGTAGCCTATAACGGAGCCCAGGCCTCCTGACCACTATGGACAGGACGGGACTCGAGAGGAAATTCCCTCCTCCCACCCAGAGAAATGCCTCTGCTTACCCGGGAATGACCAATTTCATTGTGGTTCGTGTCCTTCACGCAGATGCCCTGGATGAGTTCCCTAAACAGAGACAGGAGTTGCTGGACTTGGGAAAGGGGTGCTAGAAGCCTGCCAGTGATGTGTCACACCAGGGAACCAAGGGCTCTCGAGTGCTAGGAAGCCACCTCCTGCAGCCTGGCCCTGTGATCGTCCTTCTGCGCTCCAGTGAGGGCTATCTCAGAAGTGACCTAGGACAGTAGCTAAGAGAGCTAGCCCTACACCCAGAATGCCTAGGTTGAATCCTGAAACTGCAGAGTATGTGTCTCCTCTTGAGTCCTCTAAAGACTCTTCATCTGCAAAATGGGGATAATCACAGCACTCACTTCATAGGACTTGGTGAGGATTAAACGGGATAATGCCTGCAACGTGCTTTCTTAGTCCAGTGTCTGACACTGAGTGACTGCACCATCAACAGTAGTTGCTCTGGCTGTTATACTCAGGCCAGTTCTTGACATTACTCAAGCCAAGACTGGGTAAGTGGCTGGGACTCATTCATTTGTTGGGAAGGAGGAAATGGATGGGAGGAAGAAAGAGGAGAGGAGCAATGTGTACGCACAACTATTCTGGTAGTGTGCTCTTTCTGCCAGGGTGATAAATTTCCATTTACTAGTAGTCCCAAGAAAATGCGGCTTGTAGATATTAGTGATGATGATGAAGATGAGGATGACAACAGTAGCAATAACAGCTAACACTTATGTTGCATTTGTTACATTCTAGATACAATTCTGAGGGCTTTGCATGCATTACATCATTGAATCTTTTAACAGAGGAACATCTATGCTTTCTCCTGTTAAGAAATAAGAACGTGAGACACATGGGTTTTTTCCTTTTACCTCTCCCGTTGCAAAGCTTAAAGCCAGGGTGCCTGGAAAACATCTATCTACTCCTCTGGCTTCTTTCAAAGCCTCTTGCTTCTGTTCTATCTTTGGACGCCTCGCTCTGCTACATTTTATTCTGTAAGCCATTCTCAGGGCTTTGGAAGTAGGCAGAGTTCATAACTTAAATACAGTTGCAGTTGAAAGGACTTGATCTAGTATAAAATCCCACAGGTCCACCCTATCACCCCCCATTCCACACCACCCAAAAAATGACTCCCATAACACTCATTACAGATTAAAATGAGTTAGCCGCCCCTCCTGTGGCCAACAGTGCTGGAGCAACCAATCCTCAGGGACCCTACAGGGGCATAGCCTCGCCAACTTCCCCACACCCACCTCAGCCCAAAGAAATCACCCACTGCCATGGTTTCTTGCCTTGGTTTCCCTGCTGACCTCGAGGCTTGTAGGTAGGAAAAGGGACCCCTGTACTCACTGCTGTCTCATCATTGGGATGTTGACACAGTTAGCAGCAGCCACAGCAGCAAAAGGCACCCAGCGGCCCACCAGGGGTGGAGCTCTCTGTTGGGGGAAGGAAACAATGGGAGTTATTCAGGCTCCCTGCAAGATGGGAGTAGAGGGGCTTAAGGACCATTAAACAAGAAATCCTATCTCACTACTGCCACACATTCGGACACCCATCTGGGAACCCAAACTCCCTCAAAGGCCAGAGAAAGACCAACCTGGGGACAGCCCCGCAGTATTTCCCATGACGTGGCTGGGCTCTGGCCAGCTCACCTAGACTAGGGGAAATGCCTAGTTTTTCCTAAGACTTTGCTGCCCCCTTGTGGCCACCAAGCCCACAGCAGCCCAGACAGTAAGTACCTTTGTCAACATGTTCATGCCCACAGCAGTGGCCACCGCGGTGGTTGTGGCTGTGATGTAGGAAAGGGCCATCTGCCTAGTGAAGGAAAGAGATGCTTGGGAGTAGGGAGTCCTGATAGCTCAGCCCTGATGACCCATGGCTTGAGTGAGAAATTCTGGAAATGAGGCTTCATGTCAGAGAAGCTCATGTGATCTGTCCCCAGTGTCGTCTTGTGACTTCTCCAAACTCACGATGCTCTAGCCCCCTGGGCCTCCTTTCAGTATTTTAAACATGCCAAGCCTTTTCTACTTCAGAACCTCTGCACACTCCTGCTCCCCATCTGGGGAATCCTTCCCTGGGCTTTTTTTTCCCAGAACTCAGCTGAAACGTCAGCTGTGCAGAAGGACCTCCCTGACCAGCCTGTCTACATAGACACCTCTCTGCTGTTCTCTATCTTGTCACCTGTTTATTTCCTTAATGGCAGCAATCACAATCTGAGATTATTGCGATCGTTTCCTTCAAAGACCTTAAACTCTGCAAGAACAGGGACCACACACATCTTACTCAAATGTATCCCCAGCACCTAGAACCATGCCTGGCACGTAAGATACACTCAAGAACTATTTGTACAATGAGTGTAGAAGAAAAGTCTGTAGAATTAATACATTTTGAATTGGTCTAGAAAGAAGATACTCTCTAGTTAGCCTAAGACAATACTTTCGAACCTGGAAAAGGGAGACTTGGTCACGTGCCCAGGGCAAGCCCCACCCAGGGAGGACTGACCACTCGGGAACCTTTTAGAAGGGCTGCTCCCTCAGAGGCAAAAAGACAGCCACCTGCTCCAGACCCACGTGGACAGCCCGGGGTTCAGGTCTCCTACCTGACCGACGTGGGGGAAGCTGCATTCCTGTTGGTGTAGTTGACTAAGGCATTGAAGGACTGGTTCACCCACTGCCAGAAGATGACCGCCGGCATCGTCCTACCAGCAAGGGAGGCCCGGCGAGGAGAGGGTGGAAGGGAGGGCTTGGTGTACATCAGTCAAACCACATTACCTGCTGTTTCCCAAACTGCTCCCATGCTGTTTTATGCACTTGGGCTTTTGCACAGGCTCACCCCTCTGCCTGGAATACACACACGTGCGTGCACGCACGCACGCACGCACACACTCCGTTCCACACGTGGTCAAATCCTGCTGTTTAAATCCTCCGTTCCATACGTGGTTAAATCATGTCCTCCTTGGAACCTGCTTTACCCTTACCCTGCCCTTCCTGAGGCACAGTCATTCCATGTCCCCTGGTCCCACAACTCCATATTCTCACCTCAGCCTACTACTTAGCAAACTGGGCTGTAACTGTTCACTTCTTGGTCACTTCAACAAAACTAGGAGCTCCTTAAGGGAGGGACTAAAGTCTTTATATTCTCGACACCTGGCTCAATAACTGGACAAATGAATGCATGAGGGAGGGAAGGGGAAAGAAGGAAGAGGGGGAGGGGGAGGAGTCCTACACCCAGCAGCTACAAAGTGTATTCTCTCTCAACTGGGCTGAAAGGGTCTTCCTAATTTTTTACTGGGATATTACAGTATAAAAATACATTAAATTCATTGTTGAAGAAGTATTTCTTAAAGAAGGAAATAGAATAGCTTATTTGTTGAGAGTTCTAGAAAGGAACGCATCAGTCAAAATCCAGGCACCCATATATTTTGGCTGTGTAAACTTGGGCAAATTATATAACCTATCTAGAACCTCAGTTCCTTATATATAAAATGGAGATGATAACAGTACTCTCTGTAGGATTGTCAAAGATATTAAAGGAGGCAATATATGCAAAGAATTTAGCATGGTGCCTGGTATCTGATAAGGGATCAATAAAGATGGCCATAATTATGATTGTAATAGGGCTCCCTGACTAGCTGATCCAAGCGGCTTACACCTCCCACTTCCTTGCTCCTGGGTCCCACCTGTAGAACTGAAGCATGAAGCCCGTGATGATCATACCACCAGGGACCTGAAAGGACATCCGTCCAATGACGTTCATCTTCTCCCCAGTGTCAGGGTGGAAGGCCGAGTCATAGAGCTTCTTGGCATACAGCAGCTGCTCCACCTGGGTACCTGGGGGCACAATCCCCATCCTGCCACCAAGGACAATAGGCAGAGTTACCTCCCTGCCCCCCAACCCCGAGTCATCCTGCTCTCATTTCTCCCTCCTTCCTGAGATCTTTGCCTATTTCCTCATCTTCAGTTTGCATCTCCTCCCTAGAGGACCCACCAATGTTGCCCCAATGCTTCCGGCCCCCTCCCATAACCGCTCACCTGCTCTTCTCCACCATCACCTTGGCCCAGTCCAGCTCCCGCTCTGGTACCAGGACAGTGCGGGGGTCTGTGATATTGAAAAAGTGCTTCACCCGCCCCAAGAAAGTGCACTGGTCCCAACGGGGGGCATCGATGTTAAAGTCAGACAGGTCGGCCTCCATCTCGTTCACACACAACTGTGGACTTAAGGAACACAGGGAAAATGAAGACTGTCGCCCAAATCAAAGCCTGCCCTGAGCACCTCCCACTGTGATGGACTGCCTGCTTTCACCATGAATTGGCCCCATCAAACCCTGTTTAGGAAGGCTTCAGTGAAGAGTCACCAAACTGAGCAATTGGGTACCAACATGTGTTTCCTGAGTGCCTACTGGTGGCCAGCCCTGTGCTGATCATGCTGTGGGGGAGACTGGACAAAGGGACAACACAGTGCCTGTCCTTGGGGAGATGAGTCTGACTGGGGAACAAGAGCCCACCGGTGGAACAGTATATAATATGTACAGCAACGATGATATAGGAAGTGGCGGGGTTGGGGGTGGGTGCCGGGGGAACCTAGTAATCAAAGGGGACTTCCCAGAAGAGGTGGACTGTGAGTGAGGCCCCAGCAGACAGAAGAGATTTATCTGAAGGAGGTAGAAGGCATGGGATCACACTGAAGGCAGAAATGATCACGAGTAAAGTGGAAATGAACATGACACAACGCCTTCGTCATTTAGTGTATGTGAGAGATCCCGGTCCGTGGCTATGTGTGAGGTGCCACACCTGCCCTCAAGGAGTTTCAGAATAGGAGGTAAACAAACAAGTAAATCGACAAGGACGGCAGTGGGAACAATGCTGCTGACGGACACTGGGAGCAGTGGAAAGCCAGAGACGAGGCATCCGGAACTGAGATGACCGTATCTCCCAGTTTGCCTGGGACTGTTGGCCTGGGGTAAGTATCATAGCACTCCCCCTACTCTCAAAAGTGTCCCAATTTGGATGATAAGTTACATGATCACCTTCTCTAAAATGGATGAGGGATTCTGAACACGCTTTGTATGTATAAGAAATAAACGATGTTTTGAAGGATGTGTACGAGTTAGACAGGTGGAAGAGCAGTATCTCAGGCATAAAGAGGAGCCAGCACTGAGAGCACACAGTGCACGTGGGGATGATGATAACATGTCACACTACTGAGCTAGTCTACACTAGACACTTTGCTTAGTGCCTCACATGTACTTTCTGAATCCATCTTCACCATTACCCTGTAAGATAATCTTTAATTTAATCCCATTTTATGGATAAGAAAACCAAGGTGCGGATAAGGAACTTTACCAAGTCACACAAGCATTAGCCATTGGCAGAGCCAGGACTTTAATTCAGCCTGATTTACTTCAGAACTCTCGTCTATAACGGGGTTCTGGAATCCATGACTCGAAAAGCTAAGGCAGGTCCGTCATGGAAGGAGCTTGGACATTGTCATTCCTATCCTCAAAATAAGAAAAAAGCTGAACAGACTACAAATCAACAATTCTTCTAAAACCAATCACAGAATTGAGGGCAAACCACCACCTCCAAATCTGGAGAGACAGGTAGATAGGTACAGAGAATCAGAGCTTATCAGGAGCAGAAGCCCCCCGGGGCAAGTACCATGGAAAACTTAAATTGTTATTGACAAATTGCTGGGAGCCTAGTGTCGACAAATGGGGATTGAATCTTGAGTGGGGGTGGAAGGGGTAGGCATCACTGTTTTGTGAGTTTTACCTCCTGGAGTCTACTAGGTTCTTTAGGTGAAGATCAGAAAAGAATCCTCTGCTGCTTCTGACAGAGAGATGGGGAAAGTAGCCATTTTGAAGTGTACCCAGAGCCCTCGGTCCTTAACGAGGCCTGTCTGTCCGCAAAGGAAACTTACCGGAACCTAATTGACTTGGGGGAAGGGAAATACTCAACTCCAGCCCTTTCTAGCCTTCCTGTCCTATCTGAAGGGAGTGAGGGGAGACTGAGAAGCACTTGGGAAGGTCCAGAGGTGCAAGCTTACTCAAAGACTGAGACCTGATCACAGGACTATAGAAATGCAAGTCTCAGACCTTACTTAAGAAGAAATCTCTAGAAACCCGAAGATAGAACGAGAAAAAATACAAGGATACCAGAGGAAATTTTAGTCTTTGCCAACTACAGATTTAGCAGATAGGAAACACAGCCTAGCTCCTTGCCAGATAAACATAAAACCTCATATATATCATACCTGACTTTTAGTTTGTAGAGACAGAGCAAGTATCAGAACCAGATGATAGAGATTTTGGAATTAATAAACTGGGAACTTCAAATAACTATAATTAATATGCTAAGGATGCTAACGGGAAAGTGGACAACATGCAAGAACAAATGGATAATGTAAGCAGGGAGATGGAAACTCTAAGAAAGAATCAAAAGGAAATGTTAGAAATAAGAAATATTGTAACAAAAATGAAGAGTGCCTTTGATGGGCTCATCGGTAGACTGGACATGCCTGAAGAAAGAATTAGTGTGCTTGAATATGCGTTGATAGAAAATCCCCAAACTGAAAAAAGAAAAAAGAAATAAAAAGCAGAATAGAATAGCCAAGAACCTTGGGATGATTACAAAAGGTGTAATAACATACACGGAATGGGAATACCAGGAGGAGTAGAGAGAAAAGACTATTTGAAGAATTACTATTTTCCAAAATTAATGACAGATACCAAACCACAGATCTAAGAGGCTCAGCGAACACCAAGCATGATAAATGCCAAAAAAATCTACACCTAGGCATAGGTGTAGATTCAAGCTGCAGAAAATCAAGACAAAGAAAATCAAGAAAGAAGCCAGAGGGAGGGAAAAAACACCTACTTAAAGGGGAGCAAAGATAAAAATTACATCGGACTTCTCTTCAGAAACCACGCAAGCAGGAGCAGAGTGAAATATTTAAAGTGTTGAAAGGAAAAAAACCCATCAATCTAGAATTCTGTATCTAGCAAAACGGTCCTTTAAAAATGACGAAGAAATAAGGACTTTCTCAAACAAAATTGAAAGAATTTGTCACCAAGAGGCATAACTTGCAAGATATCAAAAGAAGTTCTTCAGAGAGAAAGAAATATAGGTCATGAACTCTGATCTACATAAAGAATGTGAAAAAGGAATAAATGAAGGTAAAATAAAATCATTATTTTTCTTATTCTAATTGTTAACAGTTAACAGATAAACAGTTCATTCAAAATAATAATAGCAACAATGTATTCAGTGGTTGTATCTGTGGATAAGTAAAATGAATGACAGCAACAATATAAAGAATGAGAGGAATTGGGAATACTGTTGTAAGGTATTTGCACTATCAGTGAAGTGGTATAGTGTTATCTGACAGTGGACTTGAATTAGTTGTAAATGTATATTGCAAACTCTAGGGCAATTGGTATACAAGTTTTCAAAAGTACCACCAATATGCTGAGAGGAGAGAAATTGGAGTCATACGAAAAGCTAAGGCTTTTGAACTTTTGTCTGAAAATTTCAGGACGCCATTAAAAGATTTTAAGAGTGGCAAGATCATTTGTGAAGTTTAGAAAGAACACTCTGGGCAATCACGTGAGAATGGACATGATGTAGTAGGACCTCACAGGAGGCAGAGAGACCAGCTGGAAGGGAACCCCAATAATCCAGGCAAGAGGTAGGTCTCAAATGAACCTAGATGCACCGAACACAGAAGAGAACCCAAAAGGACAGAATCTTTTAAAGCATCAGAATCTGAGGATTCGCTAAGTGATTGGGTAGAGGAGGAATATTGTATCAGTCAAGGCTCAACCAGAGAAGCAGAATCAGTAGGAAATACGTGTGTGTGTGTGTGTGTGTGTGTGCGCGCGCGCGTGTATGCATATATATATATCCTTTACATACACACACACATATATAATATTGATAAAAATTGATTTTGTACAAAGAATTAGCTAATTGGCTTATGTAATAGTTATGTAACTGCCCTGAGGCCAGCAGGGCAGGCAGACAGGAAGGGCTAGTCCTGGGGGAAAGGAGAGCCATGCAGGTCCAGCTGTGGCTGGAGTCTCTAACCACAGAGGGAGCCTAGTCCTTTTTTAAAGAGATTCCATCTGACCAAGTCAGGCTACTTGTGAAGGATAATTTCCCTTTATATTAACTCAAAGCTAACCCATTAGAGACTTTACTTACATTTGCAAAATCCCTTCACCACAACCCTTAGTGTTTGACTGGAATAACTGGCAGAAGGTGTGTGCATGATACAAAATGGCCACTTGTCCCTTGTAGCCCGCTGTAAACATACCAGAGTCGGGGTTCTGGGAAGTTCTGTTTGGCCTAGCCAAACTGGCACATCACAAATTTCTAAAGGGATAGCTGGGGTTTCTGACGTGGGCAATAATGTGCTAAGACACAGAATATAGAAAAATAGGCTTTAAAGGAAGAAACAGTGAATTTGACTTTTCACATGTTGAGTTTCAAGTGCCATGGGACTTTCTTAAATGCAATAAGTTGCCACCTGTCCCAAGTCCTTTGCAAATGCCATTCCCTGTCCAGAATGCTGTTCCTTCCCCTCTTCACTAAATAACACCTACTCATCTTTTTTTTTTTTTTTTTTAGGAATAATTTTTCAGATTTAACTTATACTTTCTACTACTAGATCATTTGTCTTTTTTCTTGGAAGACTCACCATAACTATGGATTTTCCATACATAGAAAATTACATTGACTGTCAACTCTAATTGAAAAATAAAAATTAAAAAAATAATAATAAACACTGTAAAAGAAAAAGAAAAAAAGGAAATTACAAGCCTGTAGGCACCTTGAGCACCACAGAGCCCATGGGAAGGCTCCGGGTTCTGCCCTCCAAGGACAAGCGGACTTGGCCTCCTGCAGGCATGTCGCCCAGTCCCAACTGACCCAGGAGAG